GCTGGCATGTGGTGCTGGGGGATTGAACCGCGGTCCCTGTGCTTTGCTAAGCTTGTTCTAAGTAGGTGCTTTAGACCACTGAGCCATCTCTCCAGCCCTAGGCTGGCTTTGAACTCACTCAGGCTCACTTTGTAGCCCAGGCTGTTCTTGAACTTGCAGTGATCTTTCTGCCTCAGCCTCCCAAGTGCTGGGACTACAGGTGTGCACCACCACGTCTAGCTCAACTGTCCTTTTTGTATCACCCAGTCCTCAGGCTGACATCAGGTATAGGCCATCCCATTGAAAAATCTGTCTGAGTTCTGAAAGGTCTACTGCAGGGTTTTAGGAACCACTCTGTGCATGTATCCTGAAATTTTGTAGTTAACAGGTTATGTCTGCTTGTTCATACAACTTTGCCACAGTCTAAATTCTTGTCTTGTTTCCTTCTGAGAGATACATGCCCGCTGATTCTTTGTAGGGTGCTGAGGGAGTGGTGGTCTCTATCTTCTACAGTTTTTTCCAACTGGGAGGGACTGTAGACCTTACCTAATGGGGTATTGTGGCTCACTGGATGGGTTGAAGAAAAGAAACCTGTTAGAAGACAGTGAGAGAAGAGTTAGTGACTATTTAGCTGTCTGTTTGATGGAAGAAACTGTTATGTTGGGGATGTAGGACCCAAATATGAGGAGCAGGTCAGATTTTCCACGCTTCTTGTGGAGGGCAAAGTATGGCAAAGAGGGGGGTTAACTAAATTATTGAGAGCGCGTGTGTTCCGCAGCGGAGGCAGAGAGTGTTTTAGGCCTGTACCCGGAGAGCTGCAGCTATGTCCATTGAAATCGAGTCCTCAGATGTGATCCGTCTTATTATGCAGTACCTGAAGGAGAACAGTTTACATCGGGCTTTGGCTACCTTACAGGAGGAAACTACTGTGTTTCTGAATACCGTGGACAGTATCGAGAGTTTTGTGGCTGACATTAATAGTGGCCATTGGGATACTGTTTTACAGGCTATACAGTCATTGAAATTGCCAGACAAAACACTTATTGATCTCTATGAACAGGTGGTTTTGGAGTTGATAGAGCTCCGTGAACTGGGTGCTGCCAGGTCACTTCTGAGACAAACTGACCCCATGATCATGTTAAAA